AATGGTAGGTCAGGAATGCTTGCGCGCCCCCCCCCCCCCCCCCCCCCCCCCCCCCCAAACACACATTTGGGATTTTTTGTAACTAGGATTTGAGTGTGTTTGGGGGAGGGTGGTAGAGAATAGGAGGGAGTTAAGGAAGGGATTTGAGGATCTCTTATATTTGGAGGTCAAAGGACTGGCATTTCGAAAAAACAAATCGTGCTTCCACAGTTAATTATCAGGATAACTTGGGTTACACCCCCTAACTGATCTTCCTTTTGAGACCAAAAGTGGGCCAGGTACGGAGAGAGCTTGGTGAAGGGCAGGGCGTGTGTTGTCCCCATGGCAGGAGTAGCCTCTGGGGTGTGCTTGGCCGACCAGCCACCTTGCCTGGGTAGCTACTTTTCAAGTGTGCACTTGTACCCACAGATTTGGACAAGGACATTTTTAGGTCCCAGTGTTCTAACTTTCTTCATCCCTAGGTTTAGCCTGACATGTATATTCTATGCACATGAGGAGGCTGCCGGGAAGGAAGGCTGTACAGTTGGGATTGGAAATCCTTTCTAATCCCACATCTTCTTAGTCCACGATCTAATTCCTCCTCCTTCTAGTATTTTGGGAGAAGGTAGTGCCACAGCAGAGACGGTGGTCAAGGATTTCCTAATGTCCAGAAGGTAAGGCCCCTTTGTGGTCTAAGGCTTTGAGTACTTGGAAGAACATGAACATCTCCTCCTTTTCAGATTCCCAGAGAGAAGGAGATCCCCTGGAGCCGTGAGGGTCTGAGTGGCTCTCTCAGGTTCCTTTAAGGTGTTTTTAAATCCCCTGGAGTGGGAATTTGGGATTCTGAGCATTGTAAAGGAGAGCAGCAGAGAGCTGGGTCTGGCGTTTGCATGCCTCCCAACCCTATTTAGGCCCTACCTTCATTACTGATGCCATGTAGATGTTTTAAGAGGGCAGAGCCAGACCCTCAAATCCAAATCCAGGAACCAAAGGTATCCACACTAAAAGGGCGCTCCCTTTTTCTCTTCTCCCATAGAATCAGAGTTCTTCCACCACATTATAAGGACTCCTAGGCAATCCCTGTGAGAAGTGAGAGGGAGAATAGCTGGGAAGATGGCCACATCTCCCTGGAACACTCCTCACCAGCTGCTTCTGCAGGGGACTCCACATAGAAATAGCAGAACAGGGAGCAGATAACAGAAATCCAGAGTCCTGGTTCTGAGGTCACTTTGGCAGCATGGCCGTCTGGCCTCAGGAAGAATGGATAAGCAGTGTGGCACTG